CCCCCAAAAAAAAAAAAAAGCACAAATGCAGTCCCCCTAGTAAGTTGATTGATTTGATAATTTGCTGTTCGTTTAGGACTTTGAATTGCCGATGCATAGCACATGCCTTGGGATACTTAGTGGTTTAATTAAGAAACTATATGCAATTAGAAACTTATCTGGTTTATTTGCTTCTTTCCTAGTTGGAATTCTCTAAACTTGAAGAGTTCTCGGAGTAAATAAAAGCAGCTATACAGTCTGTTGCTTGATAAATATGCCTTTATGATACTCTTTGTAACTATGGCCTGAGTTGAAATACATCTGTTTTTTGAAAGAATGTTCACTTTTTTTTTCTCTTCCTTTAAAAATTTTTTTTATTTTTTTTAAATAAACCGTAGGGGTATCGTGTCTTTGGTGGAACTATATGATAGACACAATTGATTGGCCAATATGGAAGCCAATTAGCTCCTTAGGAGAAAAAAAAAATTCTATATTTGTCAGAATGGTGAAAGGAAAGTGTTTTACTAGTATTAGGAATCTTCATCTTATATGATTTGTTCCAACAGATCTAGGCTTCCCTTGAACAAATATTCATTTTCCTAATTTCCTTTTTCTCACTTTCCAAACAGGCTTATGGCGTAGTGGAGGAGGATAGCGGAGTGATGGTGTGTTTCTTACCTTCTCTTCAATCTCTCCATCTTTGTACTTTGCTCTGAGCTTCTACCAGCAGTCTCCTGCAGGTCTCAGAGGCTTTGTTTCTGCTTGAAATACAACACCTGGTGAAGTCCTCTTGACTTCAAGACTTCGTTACCTGTGCTGCCTTAACGCAGGTCATCTGCCTGTTGTCATACCACAAAATATAGGTAATTATATCTTCATCTAAGTTACAAAACCTGAAGTTTCTGACTCTTCTAAGAAGTATGTTCTGACATCCTTCCCTGAGAGATGGTGAAGTGAGCAATAGACTTAACGCTTCGTCTGTCAGCCCTTCTTGGTATCTCCTGCACAGGATGAAACCGCGAGCAAAATTACCACCTTCATGAAATCTGAAATGTCTTCCTTTTTCTGAGCAGTTAAAGTTAACACATTGCTAAGTGTTATTCTCTCATAAGATGCCTTTCCAAAAGCATTTAATGAACTAGAATTGAAAGCTAACAGAGTAGTAGTTGAATTTTACTTTTTTCTCTGTTTAAAATATTCATTTTCCTTTTTACTCTAGCTCACATCCATACATCATTTTGCCTTACTACTCTAAAATGGGAATAACTGCGTGCAACCCTGAGAAGCATTCTTGTTATTTTTGCCTTGCTATCGCAGAATTCAAGATACATTGTATCAAAGACACTATATAAAAAGCAAATTAAAACTGAATTGCAGTAAGGCTACTAAAATAATTCATTGCCCTTTGCAGAGTTTACTACTGAGTATGCTGTGTGGCGTGAATGGACAATTAAATGCAAAGAATTGGTATTAATGTGCTGGTTTGTAATAATTATTGAATGTGTATTTATGTATACCTCATTCTGTATGTTAATTGCAAATAAGACTGGTGACTCGCATTTGTCCAGAATGCCTCAGCAAGTGAAA